GAGACGGGGTTTCACCATGTTGACCAGGATGGTCTCGATCTCTTGACCTCGTGATCCACCCGCCTCGGCCTCCCAAAGTGCTGGGATTACAGGCTTGAGCCACCGCGCCCGGCCTTGTAATCTCACTTTTAAAGTCAAGTTTAATGAAAAGTTTTATGAATTTTAAATAATTAAGATTTTTCTAGTTAGATAGACTTAACTATGTATTTCCAGGTCAGAATGCATGATACTTTACACAGAAATAGTCATTTAAAGTTGCCTTAAGCTGAAATTTTATAAACATCCTATTTTTCACAATGATTTATAAGACTAGGGCTTGTGTAATTTATGTTACAGAAAAATTCCTTGGGTTTAATTTTCTTTTTTTTTTGAGATGGAGTCTCATTCTGTCACCCAGGCTGGAGTGCAGTGACACAATCTTGGCTCACTGCAACCTCCTTGTCCTGGATTCAAGCAATTCTCCTTCCTCAGCCTCCCAAAGTATCTGGGACTACAGGCAAGTGCTACCACGCCCTGCTAATTTTTGTATTTTTAGTAGAGATGGGGTTTCACCATGTTGGCCATGCAGGTCTTGAACTCCTGACCTCCAGTGATCTGCCCACATAGGCCTCCTGAAGTAATGGGATTATAGGTGTGAGCCACTGTGCCTGGCCGAGATCTTTTTTTTTTTTGAGACAGAGTCTTGCTCTGTTGTCCAGGCTAGACTGCAGTGGCATGATCTCAGCTCACTGCAACCTCTGCCTGCCGAGTTCAAGCTCTTCTCCTGCCTCAACCTGTGGAGTAGCTGGGACTACAGGCGCATGTCACCACATCTGGCTAATATTTTGTAATTTTAGTAGAGAGGGGGTTTCACTGTGTTAGCCAGGATGGTCTTGATCTCCTGACCTTGTGATCTGTCCGCCTCGGTTTCCCAAAGTGCTGTGATTACAGGTGTGAGCAACCATGCCCAGCCACTAAAAGTTTTTAATATTACTTAGTATGGTCAAATGAACTCATAAAACCTGAAGGGAGTTGCTAAATCAGATCAAACAGCGTGTTCTAACTCTTTTAATCCTTTTTTCTACTTTAACTATTTTTTTTTTCCTTAGGAAGAAAGTAAGGTGAAGTAGTTCAGCATTAGGAGAGATAATTTATTTCAGGTAATTTAGATAACAAATTTAATATATCATGGATGTTATAGTATATCCCATTACTTCCTATGTCTTTCAAAAGTTATTTCCTATTTCTCTCAAAATTATTTCTCTAAAATCTATGGAGAGAAACAGTTAATAATGTTTTAGTTGCTTGTTATACTTACTCTTAGAAAAACCTGATTTACAATGCTTTTGTTTGCATACATAAAAGTTGTTAGCAGCCCAATTCCAAGAGAAATTCCTGTTAGAAAATAAGTTCCAGTTAATTGAAAGAAAAAAAAAATTAAAGAGGATTACATAAGCTAACAATGACACAAATTAAAAGGAAACACATACAGTTTTAAAAGCTAACAGAAAGTAACTGAATGCATTAAGTAGATTAACAATAATGAAAGAAAATTAACTGAATTTAGGAATGAAAACAAGTCAATGTTGTATTATGCCCTACCTGTTATATGCTGCATAACAAGTTTGACACTCAGAATCAAAATATATGGAAGACTTTTTTGCAACCACTTGAAGAGATAGCGGAGTTCTGAGAAGGAGCTACTACCATGATCTCCAGACTCTGTGGCAGTATCATCAGGCAGCCTTGCTTCGCTGTGGGAATGACTCCGTAAGCGACTGTGTACACATCCATGGGCGCAGCTATGGACACCTGACCTTGTATTTCTGGAGCTTGGATTTTCTGTACATTCTTTAGGTATAGGGTTTATCTGGATATGAACATCTCCAGAATGAAGACAAGAACCTTCTCCTGTCAATCTTGTGTGGACACACAGAGGGGTTGAGGCATCCTCACTGCTTCCAGTTCCTGGAGGACTGTGTAGTTGGCTACGATTGGCTTGCATGGCCCTTAACTACTTTTTCTCTGACCCAGATATCTTTGCTTCAGGGCTGTCTCCTAAAAAATCAAATAGCAGAGAATATTGTAAGTAAACAGGCAGTTAAATACCAGCAGTATATTCCTCACTAGGTATCCTTTATTCACTAAAGGAGTAGCAAATAATCACAGCAGATGAATTTTCAGGTTATCACTGGACTCTTCCCTTCTCAATGGCAAGGCTCTGCTGCCCTACACAAATTATCTTTTAGGGAACATTTGCTACCAAAAAAAAAAGTTGAGCTGCAAATGCTTCTAGCTCTCTAATGGCAGAAAGCATCTGCAAAACGGTCATGAAATATAGGTGCCCAGCAGATGTTAATGAGCACCAGACCTCACTGGATACGCTGGTACATGTACTTTACCCAACTGGAGCAGTTTCATCTCTGATGTATATTCCACATCAAAGAAGTTTCATAAAGAAGGGTGAGTCTATTTTTTTTTTTTTTTTACGTTTGGAAATGTTAGGGAGAAAAACAACATTAAATCTTAATGCCTTGTTATCATCATAGGTAACTAATAATAAACACTGCACTTAGGTGACCTACAAATTACATTTTCTGCTCAAGCAGCTTTCCCAAAGCTCATAAGGTTACCGATAATTAATGGTGCTACCAAGAATACTACCTCTCTGCGCAAAGAAATGTTACCTAAATACATTAAAGCATAGCTATTTTGGGGAGTTACCATATAATTGCTAGGTAACTCTTTCGTCTGAATAAGGACAGTTACACAGCTCAATAAAATGCCACCGTCGGTGGTGTGTGTATTACGGGGGGAGGGGTGTGAGGTAAGAGGACCCTGGCAGGGAAAGATCTCTAATACATGATCCAGTGTGGACCCAGGACCAGAAGAACCCACTCGGAATCCCAGCTGACGAAAGGCAGAGCCTATCCCACATTGCCGCGCCTTTCCCGTTTCTCTAGGAGGAAGCTAGAGTGAACGTCAGGGAACGTTCTGTGTCATTCTATTTCACTACCAGAACCGAACAGAGGTGCAGTCACCGAGTCTGGCGGTTTGGGTTTCAGTGCTTTTCACTAAAGGCTTTCCCCGAGGCCCCGACGCCACGGGTGTTATTTCGTCAAAACTCTTAAGAGCAACGTTGGACAGCAGGGTTTCAGTGCCTTTTCTATAAATAACATAGAACCCTCCCACCTTCCTTCATGCACAGACAAGAAAGGAGGAGAAAAAGGAAGAAAAGTCAACACAACTCTTCCGGAATCTCCGAGGGCAGAGTTCTCCACCCACGTCCGAGCCTCGAGTGCCTCATTTATTCTCCCCAGAGCCCCCAGCCGCCCCTCGCCGCCTCCTCCTCTGCCCGCTTCCCCCAGGCCTGACCTCTCATGACCAGAAGCGGACGGAGGTCTCGGCAGCAACAGCAGGAACAGCGGCAGACGCCGCCGCCAGCCCCTCGGTGGGAGCCATCAACCGCAAACCCCACAGGCAGCAACTCCAGCTCCGCTCAGCCAGGCGGCGTCGGCGTCGGCGCGCGCGCTCCCCGGACGTTCTCACGAGCGCGCGCCCTGCCCCCGCTCCGCCTCCTAGCTCCGCCCCCGCGCCGCGCTGAGAGGAGCTCGCGGCGGCGGGGGTATGTGGGCTGCGAGGCCGGGCGGCTGCGCTTGAGAACGGCCTGCAGGCGTGGCGCTGAACAATGAGTCGTTGTTACGTGTTGTGCATTTACTGTATGTGGCATCCAGCACACGCCTCCGAGATCCTGGGCGTTTTGAGGTTAAAAATGTTCAGGCTTCGAGAACATGCCCCTGGAGGAGGGGCTTGGGCGAGAGCCTCGCTTCTCGCCTCCTGAGGCGGGAGCTGGAGCCGCCAAGTCGGCCAGGGCTCTGCAGGTCTCTGGAGGAGCGGGGCTAGGTGGGGCCAGAGCGTTAGGGTTTCCGGACTCGGGTTTCCGCGAGCTGACGCTTGACCCAGTTGTGTCTGAGCGATGACGTTTCGTCTGAGCTGAGCTCTCCTCACAGTCATGAAATTGGGCTGTGAGGATCTGGCCCTGCCAGAACCCGAGGTCAGAGGCGAGAAGTGTGGAGAGCCTGCGTGGGGTGGAGGTAGAAGTTCGAGTTGAAAAACCTGTCTTGTGTGGGGTATGAAGGATTCTACTGCCCTCAAAAGAATTCTGTTTATGTAAAAGTGTTCTAAATTGAAAGGTCAGTAAGAAAACGAAGTTTAGGTCGGGCGCGGTAATCACTCCTGTAATCCCAGCACTTTGGGAGGCCGAGGCAGGCAGATCACTTCAGTCCAGGAGTTAGGGACCGGCCTGGTCAACCTGGTGAAAGCCCGTCAATACTGAAAATACAAAAATTGGCCGGGCGTGGTGGCGCGTGCCTGTAATCCCAGCCACTCGGGAGGCTGAGGCAGGAGCATCGCTTGAACCTGGGAGGCTGAGGTTTCAGTGAGCCGAGATCGCGCCACTGCACTCCAGCCCCAGCGATAGAGCGAGACTCTGTCTCAAAAAAAAAAAAAAAGCCGGGTGTAATCGCAGCACTCTGAGAGGCTGAGGTGGGCGGATCACCTGAGGTCAGGAGTTCGAGACCAGCCTGACCAAAATAGTGAAATCCCATCTCTGTTGAAAATACACAAATTAGGTCCAAGTGCAGTGGCTCACGCCTGTAATCCCAGCACTTTGGGAGACTGAGGCGGGCGGATCACCTGAGGTCAGGAGTTTGAGACCAGCCTGGCCAACGTGGTCACCCCGTCTTTACTAAAAACACAAAAATTAGCCGGGCGTGGTGGTGGCGGGCTCCTGTAATACCAGCTATTCAGGAGGCTGAGGCAGGAGAATCACTTGAACCCGGGAAGTGGAGGTTACGGTGAACCGTGATCGCACCACTGCACTCTAGCCTAAGTGACAGAGTAAGACTCTCAAAAAAATAAAAGAAAAAGTAAATAAATAAAGACTCCTGTTAATCTAAAAGTGTTCTAAAATTAAAAGGTTATTAAGAAAACAAAGTTTAGGCCTGGAGTGGTGGCTCACACCTGTAATCCAGTGCTTTGGGAGCTGAGGCAGGAGGATCACTTGAGGCCAGGAGTTTGAGACCAGCCTGACCAACATTGCCATATCGTGGGGAAATTTTAAACTATATAATCAATTTTTTTTTTTTTTTTTTTTTTTTTTTTTTTTTTTTTTTTTTTTTTTTTTTTTTTTTTTTTTTTTTTT